AATGGATTTTATTTGGTGTCATATTTGTAGTCATATTAATCATAGTCGTAATTATCATAGCCCAATTACCTAAGCAGTTAATTCATCTGGAAATTCATATCCTACTATGGTGGTTGAGATTGGCATTACTGAAAGTTTAACCAGTTTACACGAATTATTTTTCTCAACGGACCACTATTCAAATTTATTTAGACATTAAATTGTACCCACCTCGCAAGAATAATACATTTGAACTTCTTGCAATGCTTTACTTACGTAACAATCAAAATCCCACAACACCTGTAGTTGTTAAATCATTCGGAACAGCACCTTTCCATAATTATCACAAATACAGTATCTTCAAAGTAATCGTACGGGATAAAGTCATCAATGGTGTCGGGTTTCTGATGATGCTAATATTGATGAATGTCAACTAGCCATCCCTACCAACTTACTTTTTAACGGTGTTGACGGTGTTTACTATAGATTTATGGAGATTGTAAGATGCAATTCTCACAATTTAACTGTGGGTTAAATATTATTTTTAAATTACAACGGGTCAATAATTATTTTTTGTATAATGTATCTGAACTGCTGACTTTAATGCAATAATTATGTTTTCATGTAAAATAACGAATTATTCATGATTGTTTCATTGAGCTCTGTCACATGTATAGTAATTTTATAATCAATCATGAAAACATACGAGACAAATGATATAAACGTAACATTTTTTGATGACACTTAACAGTTAATTAGTGCTAACAAGAAATGATTTCTACGTACTCATGCTACAGATGATCTTCACATATGCCCCAGCACTTTTATTAGAACCAATGGATCTGATCAATGGATCTAGGGTCAATTAATACGTCTCAACAGACAAATGTGCCAACCCTGATAAAGCTTTTTTTTTTTATATATATACAATTAATAAAAATTACGTAAAGTTCGAAAAAGTACTAAAAGTAGTTATTGTCCTGATCAACCTGATCAACCAATTACAAAAAAGTGTAACAATCAATCAATATATACGCGATTTTTTACTATAAACTGACAAAAATCAAATTTTCGTATTTCTGTATTTCATTTATTATCGCCTCTAACGCGCAATTAAACATCCAAATGGCTGAAAATGTATGTCGTCGTCGTAGCAAGAAACAACAATCAAAAAGTACCAACCAAGATATCAATATTCTTTCATATTTGAAATTGCCTTTGACTGATATAACGCGTCAAAGTACAAATATCTTATGCCGAGATGATTCTGAACCTTTGTTACAAAGCCCACCCAAAAAGAAGATAAAACTAGATTGGAGTAAGGAACCATATAGCTTGACATCCCAGCATACCCTATTTCGCAGAGAACTTTGGGGTACAGCCATTGGTGGGTCAGTTATGGCTTCTACAAGATGGAATGGTAAAAATTTATTTGTTATTATGATATCTTTTTTGCAACTGCATAATTTCCATAAAGTTTATTCTTTTAAATAGCATCTACGCGATTTTTCATGAAAGATTTTGCAAGTTCTGATAAAGATATATTTAAATTTATTGGGGATCGAGGATTGGTCGCGCCATTCGCATGTTCTTTCAGTCACGGTTGGCATTTAATTATGTAAACTTATGCTTTCATTCTGTAGCAATATCATCGTTATTTTGATGCGTCTCTTTACATACAACGTCTAGTTGCTCGAGATGGAAAATGTTTAGCAGTAGCCGATGAAGAAGGTATGGTAGGTTTGATAGATGCGAGGTACGATAATACCGTAGAGACCGGTGAGAATTTCTTGAAATTGTCTATTTGTTCACACAATCAACCCAATTTTTTAATTGTGTAATCATAAATTGTAGAGAGAGTTCGAACGGAATTTCGTGCCCATGATAATGCAGTATTTGATATAATGTGGAGTCCTGATGATCGACACATGGTATACCGGATTTACATGCAGTTAATGGTAGATTTATTTTGGTACAGTCTTCTTATATCACATACCTCAACGTAAAAAGGTGACGGCGTCAGGTGACCAAACCGCTCGCTTATGGGATGTAGAATTACAACAATGTAAAGCCGTTTTTCTTGCTCACACTTGTAGCATCAAATCAGTCAACTACAATTTAATTGATCCAAGTAAGCAATTTTATTATTTTGTTTATTAAGCTAGAATGTATGTTACTTATCGTTATCTAAACAATGAATGTAAAGACATTTGGGTAACTGCTTCAAGAGACGGTAATATTTTTATTTGGGATACGCGAACAGTTGGTATGCAAACACCAGAAGGAGGTACGTTTATGTTTTTTTTTCAACAAAAAAAAATGAGCAAACAATGGTAACACTATTGTTATGATAATCATCAGAAACACTTTATAAGCCCGTTAACAGTATTAGATCAGCCCATTCACTTGATAATCCAAAAAAAAAGACAAGGAAGAGTTGCTCTCTTCCACATAGGGTTTGAATTTTTTCTATTTTTAACGATTGAGTATAGTATAAATCATTAATTTTGTTTATATTCATTCCAGAGTAAACCAACAAGCAGTGTAACTGGGGCGCAATTCTTGAAACATCATGAACATTTATTGGCATCTTCCGGAGCAATTGATGGGCAAGCATCAAAATTTACTTGATTTAACTCGCAAAATTTGTATTTCATAATTTTTGGTTAAATTAATTATTGGTTTAATAATTTAATAATAAGTATAATCAAATATTGGGATTTACGAAACCACAGTAATACAAAAGCCTCACTACCAGTTCAAATCTCAATTAATGGCGCAACCGCTAAGCGTCCACATGGTAGTTGTCTAATTTATTTTTTAATTAAATTAGATTGCTTTTTTTTATTGTTATTTTTATTAGGCTATTAATTCTCCCAATTGGAAAAAGGTATATCCACGTTGATTTTAGACAATAGCGGCACTCGGTTATATGCGAATAGCACCGACAACTAGTAAGTTTTTTTTAACGATTTTACGGTATTCGGAATAATTAACATTCAATCACTTATCAACAAATTGAATAATAACAGTATCTATCAGTATGATTCAATCAATTTGGGTGCACCATTGGCTCGATTTACTAGTCCAACATACCGTTGTTCTTCATTTTACATTCGCATGGCAATTTCACCTGATGATAGATACATCATCAGTGGATCAAGTGATAAATGTATATATATGTGGGAGACCGATTTTCCAGATGAAAATCCTATCATTTTGAAGGCTCACGAGAATGAAGTAACTAGTTTAAGCTGGTCGAGAGATCTTGAATTGGTATAATGTTTATGCAAACAGATCTATTGTTTATAGTTGAATTTTGTGTTGATCGCATATCAATTTGTTTTTATCTTAGTTTGCTTCTTGTTCGGATGATACTTCTTTACGTCTTTGGAGAGTCGACAAATCTTCCGTGCTACAGTAATTATAAAAAAAAATATAGGAATGTTAAAATGTTATAAGCAGAAGAGTCATGTAGAATCGACCTCATTCAGTTTATTTGAATAAACATAATTATCAATCTGATTAAAATTGTAACAGTATTCTATCCGATTGTGATTAGTGTAGATCATCTGATTTTGCCATGTAGATCAAATTATGACCCCGATCACGGGTACCTGAATTCTACCAATCATAATCATTAAAACGGACGAACAGACATTAAAATTTTAGTAGAGATGAATAATTTTCGAAAAAAAAATAGGTTTCTCACTAATTAATCAAATGCAACCGCTTTATGCTTACGTGATGAGATGGACGGAGTAACTAAATATGTAGTCGCTGGAAATTATTAGCATGTCCATCATGTAAAATATAATGATAATAAATGTGTTGCTGATCATTAAAATGCTGAATCCATGGATCTTACCAGTTATATTAACATTAAGTTTCCTGTATGTTATAACCAAGCATTTGATCTCCAATGATAAACTTAAAAATAACGATGATTATTAATAAAACATCAGCCATAAAGATAACGGAAATTCAATTTTGGACAAAATGCATCAGTAATCTGAGAAACATTCAAGATATACCGCAGTAAAAATTTTGGGCAATTTTTTTTTTTTTTATATACCATTTATAAATTTAAATTACCAATATTAGAATTTTGAATAATGAAAAGCTAGAAATGGTAAATTTCAATGTAAAAATCCGTTGGAAACTGTCTTTTTAGAACTTCAGCCATTTCACAGCCTGCAGTAAAATAAATCTGATCGATCTAAATTCTTTTGATGTCGACTAAGCCTCGGTGGATCTATCTATGGAGCAGATCAACTCGGATACATTAAAATATCGACCATCGTTTCCATTTGGACATTCTGATTGGCAATGTAAGATGTTCGGATATTTGGCGATTACATACTGCGGTGAGTCTCATTGCACCGGCTTTTACACGCTTTTCCTTAAGCTACGGTAACAATTATTGAAAGATCAAAAAAAGCCACCACTGGATTAAAATATATAAGTGAACAACTATTCACAGCCTCTGGTATTTTAACTTGGGCTTGAAATCGATTGACGTGAAATGCTGTTTTTTTTTCAATTTTTTTTTTTATTTCATATTTTCAAAAATCATAAATAAATAGCGAATGATAGAATAAATCGCGGCAACGATAAATTATTTATTATATTTATTATTTATTATTATATTATTATTTATTATTGATGATAGATATTTTGATTATTTCTCTATTATTAACACGAAATAAGAAACATCATGTCGACTCAAGGTTTCCTGGAAGAAACTAATTCTATTGAAGATAATATCAGTGCGATACAGCAGAATATTAGTCGAATTCAAGAGTTACAAACACATATTTTGGGGAGCACTTCGTCAATGCAAGAGGATGTGCTTAATAAAGAACGTAGTATCTTGATGGACAATACAAAAAGTCTCTTATTCCAAATAAAAGACCGCATCAAGAAGATTGAAAATGAAAATTCTCGATTACCAAAAACTGATTCGACTATCGATCTTCGGAAACGACGACATATACATCTCCATGACAAATTTAATCGCGTTCTTGATGAATATCGTGGAATAGAAGATACGTATATGAAACTACAAAAAGATCGAATCATTCGTCAATACAAAATTGTTAACCCTGCCGCTACCCAGGATGAAATTGATGACTATGTATCTAATTCGTCCAATCAGCCCGTGTTTCAACACACTTTGCGTACTGGTGAGGCTCGTACAGCGTTAGCAGAAGTTCAGAAACGACATGGTGATATTAAACAAATTGAAAGTACAATCTCTGAACTTGCAGCTTTATTCACTGAAATGCAGCTTCAAGTAGAGTCACAAGATCCTGTGATTCAAGATATTGAGAAATCAACGGAAGAAATTACAACAAAACTTGAGCAGGGTGATTATTATATTTTATATTCAACCTTATACTCATTATAAACAATTTTAAAAAAATTTCTCTTATTCAAATACAAAACTAGCGAATAAGGATATTGAAGAAGCGAGAAAAAGTTCACAAGGAAGCAGGAAAAAAAAATGGATTTTATTTGGTGTCATATTTGTAGTCATATTAATCATAGTCGTAATTATCATAGCCCAATTACCTAAGCAGACAAATGTCAACGTCACCACCACCTCACCAGCTAATACATTTGTAACTGTTACAAGAAATAACACACCGAGTGGAACGTAGTTATTTTAAACGAGCATTTTTTTTTTTTTTTAACTAGAATTGATAATTATTATTTATTTATTTTTCTTGATCGATCGATCGATTTTTGACAAAATGGGATTTGTATTGCATTGATATGCATGTAAAAATGTAGTCATGTGACAATAATGATTAAATATTTATATATCGATATGTGTAAGATTCGGAAAATTTTTCATAATATCCTTTTTTTTTTTATTTAAAAAAATCAACTGAGGTAAGAAAATTTTTCAAATGTATCTTGTTCCAGTTCCAGATTATTTTCTAAATGATGGTTATAATAATGATTTAATGAGTTTGAAGAGGGATTAGACAACCCTTTAAATGTAACAAGCATAATCCACTGAGTGTTAACTTTTAATAACGTTGGCTTCAAAACAAATATGAATTTAAAATTAATTGTCGATTCAATTTTATTATTTTAGGTTTCGTTAAATATTACAAGCGAAGGAAGGTGTTTTTGGCGTCAATAGATGCCGTTAAACATTCGTTGTTTTATACTATTCTTGTTAATAGAAATTTTGAGCTTAGACGAATGGGAAATTAAAGGCTTCTTATCTAACTGTATACTAACTGTATACTAACTGTATAATTTGTACTAGTCACATCTTTTATTTGAAATTATTATTATTATTATTACAGTATTATATTGTTTAATTTAAAACGACTGATGAGAGCTATTTTAGCTACAAGTGTGTATGTTTAGCCAGCAATGCAAAAATTATTCAGCAACCTAAATTTTGTAAAAGCTTTTTTTAAAGATATATAAATAAAAATCTATACAGTTAAGGCCACGAAAATTTAATTTATTGGTTCTCGTAACATGAAACTTTTTAAACAGACCCGGCCGCCCGGCTTTTTTTTTTAGCAATTTTTGAAATTTTTTTTTATGTAAAATTTTTTTAAAAAAACTCGCCCGATTATCACAGCTGTTCTCATAAATTTTGGGACATCTGGTAAAAAAAAAATTATCCGAATGATTATTTAAGTTCTTGATTCGGCAGTGATAACTTTTGATTTGAGCGTGATCAGTAATATAGCGATAATGATATATATTTTTTGCAAATGCATCCAAAATTAAGCTTTCGTTTGAATGTATGTCCAATATGCTTGGGTACGAAAATTTTTGACGAAAATTTTCTTGACAATCAACTAAAGACATAAAAAGGTTCAGAATATAAGATAAGCTTCCATAATAAATATATTACACGAAGAAGCGCTAATAAAAAAATGTTCGTTATGAATAAGAACTTATTATTGACTACGGCCGTTCTCAAGCACCTCATTCAATGGATCAGACGTAAATTTTAATTAGTCGGAAATTAAATAAATAAATCAAGTGAGTTACCATTTCAATCAACAAATCAACGAGATACAAACCGCCTTTTTCTCTAAAAATTTACCATTGATAAAGATCGCTCAAGCACTACTTTTACGTTTTAACGTATCAAACATAATAAACAATGAATTCACAACAAAATTCATAACAAATTTCTAACAGGTCTAAAAAAATAGCCACTTTATTTTTAATGCTCGAAGCTTTTAAAACAAATAATCGACACCTTGATGTGAACGTAATTAATACAACCCATCTTTTAACATTTAATCAAACCGTAATGAATATTGCTATTCCATTTTTCGCTCATATAAACTTAATAAATTTTTTTTTATTTCTTGTTGCTGCAAAGCAACTTTCGCTGATGATTCCATAAGTTGTTGCTGTTGCAACAAAAGGTTAATATTTGTTAAATCATTAAAGGGAGAAGCCAACGTAACCGAAGCTGAAGATTCAGCAGTCGGTTGAACAGAATTTTTTTAGTGGGTTTTTTAGTATTTTAGGCGGCATAACGAATATCATGAAAAATAGAAAAAGTGTATGCTCAAGCATTTAATTCTATAAATATTGCCATTGATTGTGATGCTTGAGCGTCATCACGATCATTCTTTAATCAATTGATTTAGATGCTTGAGGACGGCCTAAATTAAAGAAAATATAACTCAATTAAGCAACCTAGTTTTTAGAAGCTGCATTGAAAATCAACAAGGGCGTTATTTTATGGCGACCCTATATGAATAGCCAATCAAAATTGAGCATACAAATATATAATAAATTGCTTATTATTGGCTACTTAAAATTAGCTAAAAATTTTATAAATTTTATAAGAAAATATTAAAAAAAATGTATTAATTCTAAAATATGATTGGCTGCTATATATAGGGTCGCCATGGAGACGGGTATCCATAAAAAATTTGACATTAATTATAATGAATTTTAAAATATAAAATAAATGAAATTATTGAAATGGTTAATCTAACATCTAAGAAACCTTCAACTTGTTCATTTATAGTAAGTATTTTAAAAATGCCTAGCTTGTCTGAAGTAACTATTGTTGAATTTGAAATATCCAACTTTGTCTGAAGCTAATTCCAATATAATACTCAACTTATTTTTTTTTCGGTGTTAAGGTGAGGTCATGCCTCATGACTTTATTATAAGCATATATTTTTGTATATATTATGCGATACAATTATTATATACTATTATTAAGTACATTATGGCTCAGACAGGTCTTGACTACTATCTGCGACCTAAACCTACCAGAGAATTCCATATCCCACTTATGTACAACCTGGATTTTTAACTACTATATCTGATTTGTACACAAAACTCCCTTCTATATTCACTGCATCTCTCATATTTACAACATGTGACTCCCTCTTTTGATATCCTGTAGGAGGCCTCGTAACCTAATGGTTACTTCCAAATTGGTTAGACTGCTCTACTTCCCTAATTCAAGCCTATTCCAGCTACTATGGATTCCGCATTATGTGTTAATACCATGTGGAGCTTATACTCAACAAGATATAGTTTTGCAAATGAGGCGGCACTACAGCTGTTCCACAAAGTTATGGCCCAATTAACATCATATGTGTAATATATGCATTGCCAATTCTTGATAACAGGTACTCCCGTAGTTGGTAGGTATGAGAGTAAGGGAATAATCGTAACAAAGTTACTTCCAAAGATGTTTTTCATGCTCCAGATCTTTCAAATTATTCTGAGTTTCCCCCCCAGATATATTTAGTGTTTCCATTGCCCCAATATTTTAGGTTATGAGGCATTTAGGGGTATAGACCTAACTAGGATTTGTGGTCTGTTTCACTTCCACGTTAGTGTTTGGTGTTTCTTATTGGTGTTCTCCCTCTCATTTGTGTATTGCTACACTTCCAGTCTAGTGTATCTAGCTATTTCACCTACGTTCAGATATAGTTACATATACTCCAAGTTTCAGCCAACTCTCTATAGAAGTTTGTTCTTTTCCTCATTAGGTAAGTAGTTGTGCCAGAGGTGTTTCAAATCTGGTAAGGCCAATTCTTTACCACAGGTCCCTTTGTGTTTACCACATTACTCATCACTTCCAATTTTAGTTATCGCCTAGTCATCCTCCCAAATAAGATCCCCAATGTCGCTTTAGGGGTTGTTGGTGCTATCTTGCCAATTGCGGATTTACATGCACAACCTTTGTGTAATAGAACCTTCTGTAACAACTACTATTACACGTAGTGCTAACTACTCCACAATGGACTTCTTTCCGGAAATTCCTAATCCAGACCTGTATTCACTTGGACTTCTCACGGCAAATACTTCCAAATATTCGTAGATAAACATACCTACTAGGACTTGAACCCGAAGCCTGCTCGTGGAGGGTTGGGTATCTAGACCACTAGGCTGCGGGATCCCAACTATAATACCCAACTTATCTAAAATAGTGATATTAATATACATTATCTTTGTTATTAGCAAGGTATACACATTTTTACATAATCGTTTATTACCATCAAATTGGCCAAACAATATCATTCAGTTAATTTTTTACAGATGTTTCAAAATTTATAAGAACAGCTATAAAACATAAAAAAATTTTTTACAAAAATTTCAAAATTTGACCTGGCTGGGTTATAAGAACCAATTAATTAACCTAATAATTTAAATTTAATTATTATAATAATACTATTCATTCCAAATGGTCTTTTTGTTTTTTTTAAAGTGGCAATAATTATTCATTAATATAAATATCATTATGATCTCAATATCAGATAGGCAGGGTTAGCATATTTATCCATTAGGAGCCAACCAACTTCATTGATATTGATCTGTTTGACCTGTTTATCAACAGGTCGAGCTATCAGTATATAAGGCTAGAAATTAGAACCCTATTCTTTATTAGCTTTCTGTTAGAGCCATTAGCTTCACTGGGTTCTCCACTGGCTCCATTAGGTTCTCTATTAGTATCATTGGATCTATTGGATCCATTTGCTCTATTGGCTTCATTGGGCTCCATTGGTAATTTTCTTAATGAAGTGTATCTATTGCCAACCTTACAAGTTGGTGAAAGTTCCTAGACTTACTATTTTTGCTAAAATTATAAATTATAATTTTTATATTTATGTACATACATAATTTTAAATTCAATGTGTTGGTATTTCATGAATAGTTCTACCTAGTGCAGATATATTTAAAAAATTACAACCCAGAATATATCACGGCATGTAATAATACTTGCTATATTATTGCGACACATGTAGCATAATGCTGTAGGTCGTAATATAGGCCGTAGGTTGTAATATGCACCATAGGTCATAATATGAGCTGTAGGTCATAATAAGTGCTGTAGGTCATAATATATTTTACGTAAGTAGTAATAGGACCTCTAAGTTTTTAATATATTATTAATAGATAATAACTTCGATCATCGAATATATCAATATAATGAATTAGATAAACTATCAATGAATTTAATATAAAGTTAGTCCGTTCGCTAATATCTAAGAATACAACTTTTCATTTTTTTAAACATCCTGTACTAATTAGCTGTGCTATATAATAATTGTTATTAATTATTGTTGTAGCTGATGCTGAAATTGGCTGATACTGAAATTTAGAATCCCAATTTAAATCCATAATATCTACTAAAATTCAT